GGGAGGAGGGCAGCAGGAGCTGTGAGGGGGCAGAGCTGAGAGCCTGGGGGTGCCCCCAGACCCCCACGCTTCCTTCTGCCCCCCAGAGTGAGTCCTGCTGGGCAAGAAGCCTGATGTTACTCACATCCGGGGAGGGAAGCAAGGATTAGCCCAAAGGCCCATCTACCCTGGTATCGGGTCTCCTGCAGTATCCGGGCACTAGCTGCTGCAGGAAGGTGCCTGTGAGGGGGCAGAGCTGAGAGCCTGGGGGTGCCCCCAGACCCCCACGCTTCCTTCTGCCCCCCAGAGTGAGTCCTGCTGGGCAAGAAGCCTGATGTTACTCACATCCGGGGAGGGAAGCAAGGATTAGCCCAAAGGCCCATCTACCCTGGTATCGGGTCTCCTGCAGTATCCGGGCACTAGCTGCTGCAGGAAGGTGCCCCCTGGCGGGGAAGGATGGAATAATACGCCCAGCAGGGATGTCACCTCCTGACCCCATCCTGGAGACCCCGAAAATCTCAGAGCCTGACCCACAACAGCCCAGAGACTATCCCCACAATAATTCCCAGGGCTGATCCACCGCCCACAGGAGCATGCCAGCCACTGAACATGAGCTGGGTCGGAGGCTGCGGGGAGCAGCTCAAACTCCCGGGTCAATCCATCTGGATGGAAATGACACCCCATCACAAGAGTGGGACCAATCAGCCGTGGCTGTTCGCTGGTTAATTACACTCCCCATTAGAAACTTACCCCTTTGAAACCCTCGCTCCCCTGCATTTTAGCCGTGGCTATTGGTCAGCAACAGAAAGGAACTCAGGCCTTTCCTGCCTCTGGAGCTGCATGTGGCAGGGAGTTCCAGCCTCTTGTGCGGTAGGAAACACGTGGCTTTTATCCCTTCCTTAGTCACTTCTTTCCGGGGGCTTCTGGGCTCCCGTTCCTGCCCCAGCCTGGAAATCACAGCCTCTCTGCTCTGCCTTTTCCTTAAACAGGCCTGGTCTTTCCGTCACACTCTGGCTTCCCCATCTTTACTCAGCTCTGGCCCCCCACTTTGTTCCGCTCCTTTTGGGGGCAAGCGGAACCAAACCTGCTCTTCCACGACAGGGCGGCCCACTACGATTGAGAACGGCCGCCAAATATTTCTGGTAAGGACGGCGTTGTCACAGGCTGGCGTGGAGCTGCCCGTAACCCGTCGCCCCATCTCAAACCCAGGTATCAACGCTGGCACCTCTATTGGGCAGATGGGGAAACTGAGGCACAGAGTGGCCCAGTGACTTACCCAGCAGGGCAGGGGCAGAGCTGGGGACAGATCCCAGGTTGCCTGAGTCCCAGCTCTCTAGGCCGTGACCCAAGAACTCAGCATGCTAGGCGCTGTCCATTTTTACAGCTTTATTAAGGTTATTCAAGGCTGGGTAGGAGTCAATCACAGCCCAGAATTACACAGAGTAGAGCAGAGGAGACAAAGCTGGATCCTGGGGATTATTAGCTACCAGCAGGGGAGACAGGAGGGAGAGGAGGGACCTGAAAGGGGCCCTAAAGAGAGGGCTCCAAGCTGCCACAGAGGCATGGCCTCCATTTTCCTTTTGCGTTTATCTTCCTGACCGGGCCCTGCACCACCCTCCCCGCCCAGGGGAAGGAGCCGGACAGGTTGGGTAGCATTCCAACCCAGCCAGATAGGCCAGACAGCTCCACCCAGGGCCATCCGGGCACCCCCCAGCAGCCCTGGTGGGCACTGCCCCAGCTGAACCTAGGGTGGGGATGGCTAGGATGTGAAAGCACCCCCCGCGGTGCCCCAAATAAGCATGCTCCAGCCGGCCAGGCGAAGTGCGCTGCCAGCTCGGCAGTGTGCTGCCCGCGCCTCCCTCCCCCAGGTGAAGGCTGGGGCTGACTTCCCCACTTCCTTGGGGGACCGGGGAAGCGCATTCACACCCTTGTGGTCCACATTTACAAAGAAAGCCCCCCCCCCCCCCCCCCGCACTTCCGGCTGGCTAGGTGCCGGGGCCGCAGGGGCAGAGGTGCCGGGCACGACGGTTTGCGGGGACCCCACCCAGGCGCCTCCCCACGTTCGCAGACGTGTTCTCCAGCACACAGGTTTCTGCACAATAGGAAACACAGAGCACATGCCTCTGTCTAGGGTGCATGGCTGCAACGTGTGCACACGTGCGTGCAATGGATGTCCGTGCGTGTGCGAGGCGTGTGCGAGGCATGTGCGCGTGTGCACAGCACGACGGTTTGCGGGGACCCCACCCAGGCGCCTCCCCACGTTCGCAGACGTGTTCTCCAGCACACAGGTTTCTGCACAATAGGAAACACAGAGCACATGCCTCTGTCTAGGGTGCATGGCTGCAACGTGTGCACACGTGCGTGCAATGGATGTCCGTGCGTGTGCGAGGCGTGTGCGAGGCATGTGCGCGTGTGCACAGCGTGTGGGCTTTGAGCAGACGGCTGCTGGGACTTCTGCCAAGGGCTCTCTCTCAGCCCCGGCCCCACCCTGTTTACATGGGGAAGAGCAGACCCGGCCACACCCTCATGGGAACCTCAAGGTGCACTGAGCGGGCTGGGCTTTGCAATGGATGTCCGTGCGTGTGCGAGGCGTGTGCGAGGCATGTGCGCGTGTGCACAGCGTGTGGGCTTTGAGCAGACGGCTGCTGGGACTTCTGCCAAGGGCTCTCTCTCAGCCCCGGCCCCACCCTGTTTACATGGGGAAGAGCAGACCCGGCCACACCCTCATGGGAACCTCAAGGTGCACTGAGCGGGCTGGGCTTTCCGGCCTGCCGTGCAGCCGGGCCCCGCCGGGTCCAGCGTGGGAGA